GTAAGAACCTACCCCCTACTCATCCCAAACACACGTCTCCGCCTTACCTTCTTCTTAAGGCTTGCATTAAACTTTCAATAGGATGTGGAATGGGGATTAGTCCCATTTTATCTAGATTGGAAGGGAAAAAGATGACCAAAACTGATGAATGTGTTACATATGGAACTGTAATCAAGAAAATTAGAAAAGTCACATCTATTAAAAGCAATCTAAATGAGTAGGACAGTTCTAATCCTATGGGATTCATTCGTAGCACGTTTATTAACATTTTGGTTTATTTAAATTATCTTTTCTGTCCCTTTATAAAAGTCCTTTGGAACCTTCAAAAATAAGGAAGCTAGGATAGAGACAGATTCTTCAAAAGTACTTTCTGCCAAGTTTTTAGGAAACTATGTATTTGACACTCAACATTTATTGAGTACAAGTTACCTTAACTGATGCATTATACTTGATCCTGTGGGAAGATGTAAAGGATTCTCATGGTCTCTGCCCTTGAGACACAGAATTTACTTCAGGACACAGGTGGTTCCTATTCCATTGACAGAAAGGGTGGTAGCATGGAATCTCAGCTGTTGAAAGGAAGTTAGAATACTTACTACTTTTTCGAGTCTATTTTTTTTTTTTTGTATATCAAGAGGAGATGTTCCAGCAGCACCCTTTAGCTTCTGTTTTTAACTTAAATCTGGGAAAAGATTGAGGGAGTTTTAGAAATATGAGTCAGTAGTCTTTATAATGATTAGAACTTGAGAGAGAGAGAGAGTGTGTGTGTGTGTGTGTGTATGTGTGTTGAGAAAAAAGAAGAGGAAGAAGGGGCACAGAAAATTAGTATCAAAAACAGAGAGAAATTGGGAAATATTTTTCATATAATGGAGCACTTACAGGTCTTAAAACTTTTGCAACTGATTTAGAAAGCTGGAAAAATTACCAAGTCAGATTCGTATTTGCAACTATTGAGTTTAATTCCTATCCTTCATTTGTAAATAAATTCTGTTTCCATTTGCCCAAATGGTACATTAAGTACAGGAAAGCTATATGATTTCATTCACGGAATAAAAATATCCTAGTCTGGCATAATATTAAAATTATCTAGTCTGATCATCGCCCCTATTAGTTTTTCATTCATTTTAAACCTTCAAGATTTAGGAGAAACATGCTCCTTCAGTGGCAGTTAGGACTATGTATAACAGAGTTGAAAGCCTGGAATATATATAGGAGAGTTGAAATCTGCCTGTAACTTTCATTTATTTACACCAGTTGATCATTTAGAAATAGAAACGGAGTAGGATAGTTCCTTTTCATAATAGAGCCCTGAAATATTTGAAGCGTTCTACCATGTGAAACCAAATTCCATCCTCCTCTTCCCACTCCCACATGTCTCCTCTTCCCTAGACTAAAAATACTTTTTTCTTTCATTCTTTGTGCGACATGATTTGAAGTTCTGTCATTGATCCACCCAAAACTCAGTGTGCCTGTATTCTTCATGGTCACACTCAAGACATAATTTTTCAAGGGTCATTCATGTATTCATTCATCAGTCAAGAAAATATTTACTGAGTACTTACTAAGCACTGGGCACTGTCCTTGATATTGAGGATAAAACAGTGAACACAATAGATTAAAATACTTGCTCTCGTGGAACTTACATTTAAGTGAGGAAGACAGAAAATATATGAGATAAATAAAGTAGCTTAGAGAGTGATAAGTGTTTGGGAAAGAAAAATAAACCAGGACAGAGATATAAAATGTAGGTGGGGGGAATGGTGTTAGAGTCATTGGCTAAGGTGACCAAGGGAGTCACCTCACCAATGGGATATAAGTGTATCTCAATGTAGCCAATGGGTAATCACCAAATTAAACTAGTATCCAAGTCTTATTATACCTGATTGTCTCAAAGACATTCTGATCAAATCATGAAGAATGCGAACCCTCTCGTGTAAACCTGGATGATCTAGCAGGTTAATAATGGTCTATCAGATTAATAGTGGTGTCAGAGGAGGAAATGTGGTAGTATTTGCTGTTTTGATGTCATTCAGAATGCACCAGGAATCAACCACAAAGAATCAACCTCTCTGCAGATTTTGAAATTCACTGTTTTGGCTCCTTCATCTATTCCTAATCTTCTGATACTGCTCTATGTACCCAGAGATCTCAATTGCAAATTATGTTCATAATGTGGTTTGAAATTCATCATTATCAGCAGATATGCATTCATTTAGGTGCTGATCAAGAAAGTCTTACTGGGCTTCAGTTTCTTCCTAATAGTGTTTCGTCTGAGTGTTGGAGGTTGAAAAACATTGTGTCATTATTATATCATTAGCTCAAACTTATGGCCTTCTCTTACTCTAAATAAAACTATAAGTTACTTTGGTATTTTAATTTTTTTCTCAAATCTCAGCTGATTTGCGACCTTAATCCCTCTGATATGAGTCTGTCTGGCCCTACCATTCTCATATTCAGTGTTCATTTTTTCATTCATTTATTCATTTGACAATACTTTTTGACTAATTGCTATGTTCTTGGCACTGCATTTACCAAGATGATGAATAAGATCGATATGGATAACTTTTCAATTGTAGTTTTTTCTTTTAAAAATATCTGTAGCTACATTTTTTTTTTAGTTTTCTCTCTGCTTTTCTCCTTATTTTATCATTTGCAATTGCACTCAAAATTGCATTTTTGAGAACATCATAATACTTTTGAGTCATAATCTCTTTAGGAGTCTCATGCCATGAATAATGCATATCTTTTCTCTAAACATTTAGAAGACATTCACATAAAGTGTACAATTCATGCTGTCCTTTGAAAAAATAAAATTCAAGATAATATGGTCACTTTCTTTCAAAGTTCATACCACTTTGACTTAACCAATCAATTCTTGTTGTCAGAACTAGGTCCAAATGGTCATTTCCTCCAGTTGTTCCCTTGCTGTTTTAGAGATTAAATTTCATTAACGATATTCAAGCATGTGTTATATGGTTGTCTTTTAGCCAAATAAGATGTGTGGCCCTATTCATGGATCACTGAAGTCTTCTTTCACTGCTGTTGAGGACAGGAACTTCACCTGTCTTGTTCACATCTAGTTCCTGCACCACGATGGATGATCCAGAATGGCCACCATTATTGTTATCATTTACTCAGTGTTCTCCAATGTGCTTCTCTCTTTGGGAAATGAAGACTTATATGCAGACATTAACCCTCTTGACCTTTAGGACTACTCCACTTCTCCTAAAAATCTGTTTCTTTTGAGTAAGACAAGTCCTCCTACTATCATGTTCTAATTTGGAGGGTGATTACTTCGCATTTGAGATTTGGATAGATTTGGATAGGCAACTGTCAGTGCCTGTTATAAGCTGAGTTCTGAGTACTAAGACAGAGTCAACCATATGAAGATCTGAGGGAAGAATATTCCAGAGAAGAGAACAGCACATGCAAATCCTTGAGTGTCAAACTAGCTCAGTGTATTCAAAGAACAGAAAGACGTGGGGTTGGAGCACAGTGTTACTAGAGGCAGGGGAATGGGAGGAGGTGAGATGTGAAATGGTGTTGTGTTTAAGAATCTACACTCTGGATTTTTTTTTGAACCTACCCTCTAGAGCCTAGGTTTAAATAGCAGACCCGCCATTTATTATTTATTTGGCTTTGCACAAATTACCTAGCCTATCTGTGTCTTGAGTTCTGCATCTTTAAAGTAGGTGTAAATAACAATACACAACTCATGGAATTATTGAAAAATGTAAAACAAGACATAAAAAACAATTTACACCAGGGCTTGGGGTGTATAGGTGTTCAATAAATGTTAGCTATCATTATTAATTCACTGGTTCAGAGTTCAGATTATGTCGGGTCTCAAAGATGTTGTGCTTTCATTCAAATTAAATTGTGCAGTCATCGGAGTGTTTTATGCAGGGAGTGAACTAACATGATTAGAATTTTTAAAGAACAGGTTTTTCCTATCATATTTAGATTGGAGTATGAGGCAGAGGGTGGGTAGATGCAGTGTGTTAGTGGGACTTTGCAGTAACTCACAGCAGTAGGTTTGACTAGGATGAAAGCATGGGCAAAGGAGGTAGAACTAACAATTTGTTGACAGCTTATTTTTGAGTTTGTGGTTAAAGGAAATAAAGGATTCTGAATATTTGACCTAGGAAACTGGGGAATGATTATGTTCTTTATTAAGATAAAAAAAGGCCCATAAGATTCACAAAATTGCCAAAGGGATCTATGGAACAAAAAGATTAAGACTCTTGCTTTAAATTCTTAATTCTTTGTCCCTGAATCTGTTTTTCCATCTTTTTTTTTTTACTGAAATATAGTTTATTTACAGTGTTGTGTTAATTTCTGGTGTATAGCATAGTGATTGTTTTATATATATATATATAAAAATATATATATATTTATATATATATATTCCTTTTCATATTCTTTTTCATTATAGGCTATTACAAGGTATTGAATATATAGTTCCCTGTGCCAAACAGTAGGACCTTGTTGTTTATCTATTTTATGTATAGTAGTTAGTATCTGCAAATCCCAAACTCCCAACTTATCCCTCCCCTCATCTCTCCTTGCCTGGTAACCATAAGTTTGTTTTCTATGTCTGCAAGTCTGTCTCTGTTTTGTAAATAAGTTCATTTGTGCCATTTTTAAAGATTTTTCCACATTTCTTAAGACAGTTTTTCTTTTATCTTTCCCAAGAGGATAGGAAAGAGACTTTCCCCCAATTCACATACTTGATCTGATAATAAAACAATTTGTGAAGATGATCTTTGTCAAACTGGTTTACCACAGAGCAGAAGTGAGAACATAATGAATTTAACACTCCTTTGTTGAATTTGTCCCAAGCCTTTCAAGGCCCAGCTGTTCAAGTTTAGCAAGTGACTCTCATGAAAAGTGATTTGTAGTTATTTTCATTTTTATTTCCCCTATCTTTTTTTGCCAGCTGTTTGAGCCTATTTTTTTTCCTATAGCTGGAAAATAATTTTCATTTCTCTTGTTCCCAGAATCAACTTGAATGGTGGACAGACCAGCCATTTCAGTTGAACCCTACTGCATTTCTTTGACATGGTCCAGATGGCCTTCAGTGATGGGTAGGTACATGTTCCCTCACACATTGTCCCTAACAGTGTCTCTGAGGATGCAGTCTATGTGGGCATCAATCTTTGCACATCACTTGGATTTTCCTTTCCTACATGTTTTACTGAAGATCCACAGCACCTAAAAAGGAAATTCATAAAGTTTTTGCAAGTGATTCAGACCTTATTGCATTTTGATGACAACTGTAACAACAGAACCCAAACCGTATAAATTTTAATTGTTGGCAAGGACCACTCTTGTGTTTGTTTGGCTCAGCAAGTACTGTATTACAGAGGGTAGATGGATAGATAGATAGATAAATAGATAGATATAGATATAGATATAGTTATTCGACATACCTAAAGATGATATCACTGACATGCTACTAGTATTTGGGCACTTAAATTATTTTTCCAGTCATAATGATGACATAAGTTAAACCACTTCTTTCTACTTTTCTTCCTTATGGTGAAAATTGCTACATCAGTCAGGACCTTTTTGGTTGCAAAATATAGAAATCCAACTTGAGCTAGTTTTGGCAGGAAATCTAGGTTTAAGAATCAAAAGAAGAGTTAAGGAAATTTTTACAAGGCAAGGAGCAGTGCCAGGGGTCTTAGGGCCTGACATCCGAACTCTTTTTCTTTCCATCTCCCATCCTTTTTTTTTTTTTTTCTCAGCAGAGCATCTTCTTCCACTGACAGATTTAAGGCTGTATCTTTCTAGTTTTAGTATCAGGAAGGAAAGGATTCTACCTCTCAGTTCCACAGGAAAATATCTTAAAAAATAGTGGTCAGGTTAGATCAGAAACCCAAACATGGTCAAATTACTTTGACAAGGGAATAAAGGTTACAGAGTAAGCTAGCAACCCCCAGACCATGAATCTGGAGTGGGTAAAGAGGCAGGTCCCCAAAAGAATGTGGGGATGCTGTTCTCAGAGGAAGAGAAGGCTACTAAACGAAACAAAACAAATTAAAAAAACCAAACAAACAACAAGTCTTCACTAAAAAAATCCGTTTGCAAGATGGCCAGTGGGAATTAGAAATTAAACTGGCAGCTAGGAAATATTTACTGGTTTAAGCCCACCTCTGAAACCTCTCCTTAGTTTTCAGTCCCAGACAGTTAATTTCATTGGGTCGTTTTCTTAACAAACTTAGATTTCTAATTCATGATCAGCACTTTTCCAATAATCAAATCCCACTGAATTATTTTGCTTTCTTGATGTCTTTGTTTTAATTTGGAGAAGTCTATGTTTTATTCTTTGTCTATCGTGCTTCAGGGACTTTTCTTTTCAAGAAGTCATTTAGTATATAACCTATCTGAACTTCTTTGGGGGTTAATCGGTATTTTCTATGCACACTAATCCCTGGTTGATAGACTAGAACAGAATTACTTGGAATAAATAACAGACATGTCTAGAAGGGATTTTATTTATAACTGGGGTAATCCCCAATTTACAGACAAAATGAGATTCAGAGAAGGTAAGTGATTCGCCCACGGCCACATCTCTCATTATCAAAAAAGCCACTATTAAAACCCCAAGACCACCAGACTTCCCTAGTTTTGTGTCATTTCCATTGTATCAGGCTTAGTGAAGAAAAAGTGAGAATAAATTCAACAGGAACAAACGTGAAGATCAGGTTGGATCATCCCAGCTCACCGTAAAGAACACTGGCTGCCTTTAGGATTTAGAATATATAGCTAGCCTGATAAGGAAGCAGCAAAGGGGCAGTGCCTTGGGCAGAGAGATACTTGCCTCCTTTGTGTGGGACCCTCAGTGTTAGGAATGTGGTGAGCGCCCTGGAAGAACTCTCCGAGGAGAAAGATTCCTCTGTCTCCATTCAACCCAGATCTAGTCAGATTCTGCTCATCATATGTCTGTCCGAGCAGCCCCGTTTTCGTTTCGCCACTGCTGCCGCTGCAGTTCTGGTCCCTCTCATTCTCCCTGCTCCCAAATGGCCTGCCTCCAACCCATCGTCACCATAGTGATCTGTCTAAAATGCAAATTGAATCGCATCATGCTCCAGCTTTAAATAGTTTAGTGTCTACTCCTTCTTCCAACCACAGAGTGAAGTTTACTCCCTTGAACCCGACATTCCTCTCTGCTTCTTCAGTCTTGATTCCTGACAGCCTTGGCCCCAGATGTGCTAAGATTTTGAACTAATCTTATAATTAGAACGCCTAGAAGTTAGAGGTATGGAGCCGTATGTATCTTTACATATCTGGTAGTGCACAAATATTTATTGAACTGAATCTCTTTTGAGTCCAGAGTAAGTCTTAAAAATCAGAAGAAACAAACTCACTTAGTGAAGAAGTCAATGTTTTGAAGACAATTCTGTAACTAAATCATTGCCCTCATGTTTTACTTCCTTAGTCTTCAGAAACTATGTTCATTGCTGTTGTAATATTATAAGCTACTGATTAAGTAAATGGAATTTGAATTTTGCAATCTGATTTGCAGCTTGAGGATATATCTTAGCTCTTAATGCAAGGCTAAATTCTGACTACATCTAGGCAAAGAATTTTTCTAATTTGGTTTTTGATGCCCTGGGATTTTTTTTTTTCTTTTGCCTTTTGCGATCTCTTCTTATACATTTCTGTCCCATTTTCAGTTTGGAAAAACAATACATGAAACCAAAAAAGAGCAATTGCTACTAAGGGGCAGAAGATTGTAAGCCCTGATAAACAGAAACAAACCACTGCTGGAAGACAGATGTAATTCTATTAGGGCTATCTGGTTGGGAGTTCACTGACTCCAATGTCTGGGGACCTCTGTAAAGGTAGAAAGTCCTTCTGCCTTGCTCAGTTTTCAATTAGAAAGTTAAAGCTTTGGCTACATTTTCATTGAAAGAGTGAAGATTATTTTGAGATTGTTAGTGAGTATGTATCTTGAGATATATGTGAAATTGGAGACATTTTAGCATAATTTTACTACTCTCAGATCCCTCTTAAAATAGTATCCATTAAAAACTCCTGGGTGGTTATATGTAGGAAATATAAGGAATCTAGGAAAGGATGGACCTAATTTAGTGGTGGTAACTCCCCTCTAGGGAGGCTGAGTTCAGAGAAGTTCAGCAATATTTCTAATTACACTGTCCTCGGAGGGGAACAGTTCTGGTTACAGTCAAAGTATACAATGGGAATAAACATGGGAGATGGTGGGGGGAGTTCTGACTGTGGGTATATCTAGGTATCAACTTCAAAACACCAGGTATCAGCTTACCCGTAGCAAAATAGAGTCTGGGTCTTGCCTTTCTGATCCTAATTGCGTTGGTCTGGATTCTCTCTGGCACTGGGTGAGCGTGGGCTGTCATTGTCAAGCATCAGTGACTCCTAATGGGTAGGAGGCAGAGACTGAGGTCCTCATTTCCAATTCATTGGCTTATTCTCTTTCCCTACTGCCTAGGCTGTGTCTGGCACACAGGGACACTTTATAAAAATTTATCGCATAAAGCATAACTTACCCTTTCCATTATAGATGTAGTTCAGAAGACAGGTAGAGCATTCATAGAGATGGTTTCTGAGAAATTCTTAATTTTAAAGATGCTTGCCCTCCTTTTAAAGCCCTCTCACTATTGGCTCCCATGACTATTGTCATCTGATTATGAGCATCTCCAAGATCAAGTCTTGCCCTCCAGCTCTCTAGACACTTTCTACTCTGATGAGTCCTAGCAACCTCAAGACGAGTGGTACCCAAATGTACAGCTCTGTCCCTACATGTTCCCAACAGGCATACTCTTATCTTCACCCGTCTGGGGTAATTTTTATCTGGCTCCCCTTTTCTTGGCCTATTCTCTATACTCCTGGACTCCACTTCTCTTGGATCTCATGGTTCTTTTCAAGCATCCAGACTTAACTTTGGATTCTTTTTTTTCTTAAACTCTTTAGACACATATCCCCATATCCAGCCAGTTAATATGTCTTACTCATCTTCCCTCAGACCCTTTCTCATTTCTGCTTCTTCCTTTTTATTTCTCTTGTAATCACCCTGCCCAAACCCTCTGTCCTCATGATTACATTCTTTATGGATTATTACAACCTCTTACAAGTTTTCCTGCCTGTAATCTTCACCATCCACAAATCATATGGCATTTTGATATAGACAACTTTTTTCCTAAACAGATTTTCTCAAGTTACCAGCTTGCTGATTTATATACAATTTTAGGTCCCACTATTTGGCAAAATGCTTTGCACACCCAGTTATCCTGTGTTCTTGCAAACATATAAAGCTCTGTCTTTTCCCCATGATTTGTTTTATGATAAAGTGCTTGCTTGGAAACTCTTACCTTTGCTCTCTGCCACCTGTTAGGACTCAGTTCAAGCATCTCTTAGCACTTTCATGAAATTTGATGTGACTGTTTTACTCTTCACTGTCACATCCTTAGCTAATCTGCAGCCTTTACAAGTTGTGCTCCTTTGGCTTTACTCTTGCTTTACCTGTAATAATACACTGCAAATTTCTTGATGTTAGAGATCTTATCTTGCCTGTCTCCTTGGTTCAGACCTAAGTATCTGCAGCATTCTTTGGGCTTCATAAATATGCCCTCTGCTTTAAAAATATCATTGGTACATTTATCTTATTTTGTCATTTCTAATTGCCAATCGCTAGATATTTTAAACCCTAAAAAGATATCCACTGTTATTTGAAGCTGTTTTATAGTTCTTGTAGTCTAGCATATTTTGGGTGGGCATTCCAAAGGATAAAATGGCTAAAGAGAGGAGAGTCCCTCTGTGTTTTAATGAGCTATTCTGCAAGCATGCCAAGATAATGTGAATTCCATAATCCTCTCTATAGAGAAAAATTTATTAGGGCTAATTTGATATCCAGAAATGTTATAGTCATTATTTTTATTCTTGTTTTTTTCATATTCGAAAACAAATGAACTCTACTTATTATTCTCATCTCCAGCATTTTCAATGCTCATCCTTGGTCTCTTAGTAGCAGTAGTAGTATTAAGTAACATTGACAGTAAAAGTAGTGGACATAACAGCACCAGTCGAAGTAACAGTAATGTCT